AAAAGATCTACAAATATTTTCATTACATTTATGAGCACTATAGTCTCTGAGTCTGAAGAAACGACACGCGTCAGTTTAACACAGAACTAATAAAGACAGTTACTTTTTTGTCCATTGTTCTTTTAATTGTTGTCTTTGTGTTCTGTGTATAAGAATAATCCATTGTATCATCGCATTCATGATCAGATGTACGGCTGTATCAGTGTCTTTATTTGCACATATATTTTATCTGAATAAGAGCGGTGCTGGTTCATATTTAGAGCAATAGAGGATATGAAATATGTCCATAAAAACTTGAAAAGCGCTTGCTCTGGTCCGTACATGAACTATATGATCCGCGGTGCAAGCGTTGTTAAACTCATAGCGGCAGAAACCACTCTCATTCTGCGCATGTCGTTTGAATTCTCCACTGTGATGCGATGATGTCATGCGTAATACAGCGCAGTGATTGGATTGAACGAGCTCTTTCTCATGAATGAATGCAGTGAGTCGCTCAAAACCGGCTGACGTACAGAATCGTTCTCTCCAGCCCCGGCAGCCAATCACATGCTCCGAAAGCACACTAATCTCACATTCAGCCAATCACATGCTCTGACATTTTCACCTTAGTATTTTGTGATCTGGTGAAATAAAGATGAAGATCTCTCTTCCTCTGTCTGTTTTATTTCTTGATGAAGATGATGTGACTTTACAGAATAAAGAGTCTCTTATTTGCTTTATTCTCTCTCTCTCTCTCTCTCTCTCTCTCTCTGCTAATGTAGGTTAAGATACTGTGATATGACAGATGAAGGTTGTTCTGATGTGACTTCAGCTCTGAAATCAAACCCGTCACACCTGAGAGAGCTGGACCTGAGCGGGAATAAACTAGGAGACTCTGGAATGAAAAACCTCAGTGATCTACTGATGAACCCACAATTCAAGCTGGAGAAACTACAGTTAGTGTCATTATACTGTACAGTAGGGGTGGAACGGCACATGTATTCGTATTGGACCGAAATGCTACGGGCGTCACGGTTCGGTTCATGCATTTACACAGAGAATACACGGTATAAAATTAAATAAAACTCACGTGCAAATTAATAAATGTAATGCGGAACTACTATTAGATATGCAGACTCGTTAGGGACACATATGCTGCATCCCAATTCACATACTATTCGACCTAAATAGTATTCAAAAATAGAATTAGTATTCTATTTTTCTGACTCTGGAACAGTGCTTACAGTTGCAGCCTCAGGAACAGCGGTCGTGGCTGCAGACTCTGGAACAGCGCTTACAGTTGCAGCCTCAGGAACAGCGGTCTTGGCTGCAGACTCTGGAACAGCGCTTATAGTTGCAGCCTCAGGAACAGCGGTCATGGCTGCAGATTCAGGAACAGCGCTTACAGTTGCAGCCTCAGGAACAGTGGTCGTGGCTGCAGACTCTGGAACAGCACTTACAGTTGCAGCCTCAGGAACACCGGTCTTGGCTGCAGACTCTGGAACAGCGCTTATAGTTGCAGCCTCAGGAACAGCGGTCATGGCTGCAGATTCAGGAACAGCGCTTACAGTTGCAGCCTCAGGAACAGTGGTCGTGGCTGCAGACTCTGGAACAGCGCTTACAGTTGCAGCCTCAGGAACAGCGGTCGTGGCTGCAGACTCTGGAACAGCGCTTACAGTTGCAGCCTCAGGAACAGCGGTCGTGGCTGCAGACTCTGGAACAGCGCTTACAGTTGCAGCCTCAGGAACAGCGGTCGTGGCTGCAGACTCTGGAACAGCGCTTACAGTTGCAGCCTCAGGAACAGCGGTCGTGGCTGCAGACTCTGGAACAGCGCTTACAGTTGCAGCCTCAGGAACAGCGGTCGTGGCTGCAGACTCTGGAACAGCGCTTACAGTTGCAGCCTCAGGAACAGCGGTCGTGGCTGCAGACTCTGGAACAGCGCTTACAGTTGCAGCCTCAGGAACAGCGGTCGTGGCTGCAGACTCTGGAACAGCACTTACAGTTGCAGCCTCAGGAACAGCGGTCGTGGCTGCAGACTCTGGAACAGCGCTTACAGTTGCAGCCTCAGGAACAGCGGTCGTGGCTGCAGACTCTGGAACAGCGCTTACAGTTGCAGCCTCAGGAACAGTGGTCATGGCTGCAGATTCAGGAACAGCGCTTACAGTTGCAGCCTCAGGAACAGCGGTCTTGGCTGCAGATTCAGGAACAGCGCTTACAATCGCAGCTTCATTAACAGCACTCGCGGCAGCAGACTCAGGAGAAGATCCTCTTTCTCTTTGGCCGCGGGGCAATGGTCACAACAGGGCTCGCGATCGGCTGGCCGGGCTCAATCGAAGGCGAAACTGGGACAGGGATGACCACTTCTGGTTGGGTGAGCTCAGATGATGAAGAGTCCAAAGGGGAATCCCAAGAAATCCGTCTCCCTCGTTTACCACCGAGGTCAGCGGGTGTGAAAGGCGCCTCTTGAGTCGAAACGAGGGGAGCCTGGTTCTCGTGCATGACCACCGCTAATACATGACCCTCAGGAATTACTGGCAGCGTGCAGGGTGAAGAAGACATGGTGGGAGCCTGCGAATCCTTCCTCGACAAGCAGGCCACCATATCCGGGAACGGGCGGCGAACAAGACTTTCCCGTTCAGCCAGAGGAGGCAGAACGTTTAGACCCGCGATGAGGTAGCGATTTACCAGAATCTCAGGCAAGAAGAACCGCCTCTCCTCCACCACCCGGGCATACTGTCTCAAGGTTCGCTCACCCTGGGAAGGACACGGAAGCTTTCCATTCCTGGAATCGGAGATCGCCTCCTGCCACCAATGGACAAGATCGTCAGGCATAATGTCTGCTGGGTTCAGTTGTGATTGGTTCATTCTGTTATGTGGATGCAGGTGAAGAACCCAAATGCAGGCAGAGTGCGATGAACACAAGGTTTATTGGTGACAAACAGGAAAACAAAACCCACGAGGGGACAAAACAGACAAAACAAATGGGAGATAACTAAACTAGAAAACACTTGACAAGACTATAAACTAACAGTAAATACAAGATCAAGACATTCTTCAAAGACAAGGTATTCACTGGTAGATACTCACAAGAGAAACATGCAATGAGAAACACAATGAACCAACACAGGACAGCAAACACAATGGGATTATAAAGGGATAAACTAATGAGAGGAACATGTGACACAGACTAGGTAATAATGACAGGAGGAGGATAACAAGGGGGCGGGGTCTAAAACGAGACAACACAAGCACATGGCCCAAACAACAGGCCATGTGCTTGCACACAAAACATGGTTCTGCCATGATCCTGCCACAAGACTAGAAAAATCAATGACATGATTGCAGAATCATGACAAAATGGAGGATTTTAACTGTGACAAGATGATTGACATGGCAGTTTACGGTGACAGGATGCAGGCAGCACGCGACAGAGCTGTCCGTTAAAGATGACGTGATAGTATGTCCCAAAGCTTGCCTACTCTTTTGCTACACACTCAAAAGTATGTACTTTTTCTTGACAAAATAGTACACACTTTTAGGGCGTAGTATAAGTAAGCGAATTGGGACGCAGGGATAATCTGTAGCCCCGCTTTAGGCGATCTCCGCATATGTGCAGTGTTTTGTCGGGTTGATGTGACGGTCCAGTGAGTGAGTCAGAGACAGTAGCAATAAGGACGAGTATGGCGATTGGTGGCGATCGACCCACAAGAGTTAAAGAACCTGCCGGCCTATTCAAGATCGCACATTTGGTAAAACATTGGTTTCTCAGTCAGTTACAATTAATTAAACCAACAAGCTTCAATATTTGTTTACTCACTCTCTCTCTTGCTCTCGTTAATTCATAAAAAAATGATCACAGTGCTACTTTATCGAATTCTAGATCTGAGCTGTAGATAAACGAGAGGGAAAACTCAAAACTATATATGAGTTTCATGATGTCATGAGTCATTCATGAGTCATGGTGACAGCTGTTATCTTATCTATTTATCCAACCCATTTAAACAGTGTGTGGGCGCCATCTTTTGGACATTCATCATATTGCATTGGTTTTCTTTATTGTCCTCAAACAGAGCACTATCTGTTTATTTTTAAGTTACACATTGTACATTGTTTAAAAAGAAAATCAAATGTGTTTTTAATGGTAGTAGGCCTATTATTTTATACAGAATTTTTTTTTTTAAATTCAGATGAGAATAAAGTTAGTGTTCATTTAAAGTTTTAAGGAAAACAAATATATTGATCTGAAATATAGCAGATTAATTTATTATGAATTAATAACATGTATAATAACAATAACATTAATATAATGAATTACATGAATTACTCAAATGTATTAATACACAGGTGGTACAGCCTGAGACATGCAAAAAAATTTGCCTTCTGCATTTTTGTTTTGCTTTTCCCTCCATTGTACCTAGACCTACAGTGATCTGTCATGCCACATCAAAGAGCGCCAAAACACCATTTATTGTTTGAATTTCGTGGTCAAATAGATTACACCTTGCTTATTATCGAAAGTAACAAAACACGGAGCTTGTTATTTGGAATTAATGGTGGTGGTTAGACTACAAAACTGAATTCGTTGTGTGCTGTACACATAAGACATGAGGTCCATTGAGTTGGGCTGGGCGGAGACGGGGTAGCAGGGGGCAGGGCGTGTTTAATACGCAATGACAGTATCGCGATTCGAATCGTGAGTTCAGTATTGCGGTTTTTCGGTTCGGTTCGAAAATCGTTACACCCCTACTAGTTAGTAGAGTGTAGTTTGTAATTGTTTAATTACCAACATTTGATACAATGCACTGATTGTGTACACGCAGAAATCTGCCTTTTCAACAGAGAATAAAGAAGAGAGATGACAAATAAATAGTTAGAAATGAAAGAGAAGAAACAGTGTCTTCCAGCGCACAGAACTAGTGTGACTGGGTTTTAAAACAGACTATTGGAAACTAAATGCTGCTGTAGCTCTTCAATAAGATGATCATCATAGATGTGAACTATTGTTATTTCTCTGTCTTCAGTCTGAGTTATTGCAGTATTACAGAGAAACAGAGTCTCATCCTGACTTCAGCTCTGAAATCAAACCCGTCACACCTGAGAGAGCTGGACCTGAGCGTGAATAAACTAGGAAACACAGGAGTGAAGCACTTATGTGCCGGACTGAAGGATTCACACTGTAAACTGGAGAGATTGAGGTCAGTCACATTCACATACAAGAATCAAAATGCTTAAAATCACTTCAACAGTTTTAACTAGAACACTTTAACATTATATTTGTACAAACATTTTCACCTTAGTATTTTATTTTATTTGCTGATGAAGATGATGTGACTACAGAATAAAGAGTCTCTTATTTTCTTCATTCTCTCTTTCTCTCTCTCTCTCTCTCTCTCTCTCTCTCTCTCTCTGGAATTCTGGGAGTTTGTACGTGCGAGAGTGGTGGGGGTGAAGATTGAGTGGGGGTTTTTCACCTATTTTTCTATTTTTTGCTTATCTTTTTTCCCATTTCATCTGGTTTCTGCATGGTTTGGTAAGTGTTTATTTCTTATTTTTGCTGTTAAGGCGGAGGGATGGCGTCTCAGGCCAAGGCGCTGTCCTTACGCAATGGATTCAGGTGTGTGCCTCCTGATTAGGTAATGGTGGAGGATGTGCTTGTTGCGACAGGGGAAGCGGTAGGCCATGAAAATATCTCTTCTGCCTCTCGTATGAATAAGGCTGTTGTAGTTTTTTTGATAGCGCAGAATCTTGTCGATCAGATAATTGAAAATGGCCTTATTATTAATGATGACTTAGTGCAAGTTACTCCACTTTATGCGGCTGCTTCTAAAATCACAATTTCAAATGTGCCGCCGTTTATATCTAATGAAGCGTTGGAGCGCGAGCTAGTTCGCTTTGGAAAAATTGTTAGCCCGTTTAAGACGATCTCTCTAGGCTGTAAACACCCGGCTTTAAAACACGTGATGTCGTTTAGGAGAAATGTCAACATGGTTTTGGATTCTTCGGAACGAACGCTGGATATATCCTTTCGTGTTAAATACGAGGGAAAAACATATATGGTTTACGCAACAACGGGTAATATATAGTGTTTTGAATGCGGTGACATCGGGCACAAACGACATGCGTCGTGGGTGAAACTTTGTCAGATGAGAGTGCATCTACACATGACATTGACTTATGTTCACGGGGAGATTCCATGTGCAGTGGTGAGTTGGACACTCAAGAGTTCTCACAAGATGATTCCTCATTGTATACTTTAGAGGAGATTAATGCTTTTCTGGATGATACTTTTGGGAAGCAAGTTAATGTGATCATTTTTTTTCCAGATATTGAGAAGTTTGAAAAGTCTGTTCACTTAGGGTGCTTCTCAATATCCCTCCTCGTCTCCTCGCTCCTCCGTCCTCCCTCCTATGACCCGGAAACCGATCGAGCTCAGCCATCTTGAAGGACATCTCAATTCTCTAATTGCACCGTGAGGAGTCGAGGATCGAGGAGATAGGAGGCTTCCTGAGGAGTCATAAGCGAGGATACACAGGTGCATCCTACGCCGAACTGTTATATTGACTAAACGTGACGCACGTGTCAATTCTCCTCCCCCTTCACATCGGTCACAATCATTTTAATTTATACTTTACCTTTGCAGTTTATATAAACCACACATCTCTGATATTTCAACAGTATAGCCTATCTTTATTATTATTTATTATTAATTTATTAAATAACCAAACTTTAACAACATAAGGGCAGATCCTTTTAGCGCTGCTGATGACACTGTGGAGTGACGCTCGAGTCATCAAGTACTCCAATGTATATAAAAAAGCTTTTATTCGATTCCTCTGTCCTCCTTTCCTTTCCTCGCTTCCTCCCCTCGCGTCCTACAGGGGGTGGAGCTGAGACGCAAGGAAAGGAAGCAAGGAAAGGAAACGAGGAAGCACAAATAAGAAATGAGAAGCACCCTTAGTGTTTATGAGAAGGCTTCAACAGCCAAGGTCAACTGGGATAAAAGTGAAGCTCTCTGGGTAGGGCAAGGTACTTCAGAGAATATCCCATTATTGTCTAGAGACCTCAAATGGAAATTAGAAGGTTTTAAGATGTTAGGGGTTTTTTTGTTCTAATGAGTTTCAAAAATTAAATTGGGAGGGTGTAGAGGAAAAAGTGTGTACACGATTGTCTAGGTGGAAATGGTTGCTACCCCAGTTGTCCTACAGGGGAAGAGTTTTGGTGGCCAATAATTTGGTGGCATCCACTCTGTGGCATAAATTCAATGTACTGCAACCACCAGCAGGTCTAGTTCAAGCGATTCAGAGGCACTTAGTGAACTTCTTCTGGTCTGGATACCACTGGGTCCGATCTGCTGCACTGTATCTTGCTATACAAGAAGGGGGACAGGGTCTGGTGGATCTCAAGGCAAGACTGACTTTTCGTTTACAAACCGTTCAAAGACTGCTATACAACAGTAATTTCTCCTGGATGGACACTGCAATAACCCTTTTGCGGAGGGTAGATGGAATGGGACTCGATAAACATTTATTTCTTATGGATTTACAGGAATCTGAGTTGGTAGACCTTACCCCATATTATAGATCTATGCTTGAAGCTTGGAAAGTTTTTACTGTGTCAAGATCACCTGATGTGTCACCTGGGCCTTGGCTGTTGGAGGAACCTTTGTTTTTCAACCCTCTTCTTTCTTCAAGACTTTTGTCATCCGCATACTTACGTTCAAGGTTGCTGGATGCTGGATATATGAAGTTGGGCATGTATTGAGTAGCAGTGTGGAAGCTATAAGCCAAAGGACTGAAGTGAAATCGGCAAGAGTGATACAGCAGCTCATTTCAGAAGCACGTGGGGCATTAGGAGAGGAGTACAGAGACTTTCTGGACAACACAACGGTGATTCATGAGAGGACAGAAGGACATGATTATGTTTTTCCCTCACTCACAGTAAGGGCTGCTGTGGAGAATTGGGAAGAGGATTATCACTGTTTGTTGACTTTTAAAACCCCCGTCTTGGATTGTTTTGAGTCAACTGGGAAGAAGGCCTTGTACTTGACTTGTTTAAAAGTGTCAAATGCCAATATATTGACTGGTGTTTTTTCTACAAAATGGATGGACTTTCTTGGACTTGACTCTTCCCCTAAAGGCTGCTGGCGTGCTCTGTACAAATGTCCAATTAATAAGCGGACAGGTGATCTCCAGTGGAGAATTGTACATGGAGCGATAGCTACGAACAGACATGTGGCACATCTTAATCCTAGTGTTAGGGTGGGTTCTTTTTGTTCAGAGGTAGAATCAGTGTTCCATTTATTTGTGCAATGCTTACGTTTAGGGGATCTTTTTACCCTTTTAAGGAATTGGTTTTCATCTTTAGATGAGTTTTTTTCTTTTAAATTGTTTGTTTATGGTCCTAGGTATTCCGTTCAAAGGAAAAGGACTTTGGGTTTAATAAATTTTTTATCAGGCACTGCAAAATTAGTAATATGGAAGACAAGAAAAAACAAACTTCTAGGGCAGGATGCAATAAGTGTGGTTCCTATGTTTTTGGGGCTTGTGGCAGCTAGACTAAAAGTAGAGTTTGCGTATTACAAGTTGGTGGACTGTTTACCAAAGTTTGTAGAAATCTGGTGTGTTAATGAGGTATTGTGTACTTTATATGAGCGAAATGGTTTGGTGTTAACTTTTTAAATATACCTGTGTATTTAAAAAAAATAAATAAATAAATGGAGGTTGGAGCAGGCTTCACTCAATGGTTACACCTCAATTTATTTTAAGAGTGCTGGCCTAATAATTAGAGTGCATGGAAGAAAAAGGCCGCACCTTGCATAGACAGTTTATTTTACACAAATTGTGTAAAATAAACTGTCTATGCAAGGTGCGGCCTCTTTCTTCCATGCACAAAAAAAATAATAAAATATAGCTGCGAGCAGCGATTGCGGGCCCAAGCCTGTGGCACCGCAACCCCGATGCCTTTAGCTACCCAAAGGCACCGGGATGGTGGTACCGCCGGCTTTGGCGCTTTATCGCTGCTCACATCTATATTTATATTTAATATAAAGCCGGTGGCACCGCCACCTTGGTGCCTTTAGGGTTATTCTGTACGACGTGTAAAAACGTAACCCCCGCTTTGACTATCAAAAAGAAGTGTATTGTAGAGCTTGCATCAATGCGGACTCGATGCGCTGTGCGCTGTAACTCCATGTGGCTTTAAGCGCATCATTCTCCACTCGGGATGCGCATAAGCGTTTTGTGCCACACTGTACTGAGCCTTTCATATCATAATGCAGTGACGCAATGACAGATTATTAATTGCCTTTCTTGTTCTGTTCTATCTATTATATGTTGATAATAGATAGGACAGAGCACTAAAAACCTCAAACAAAGCACTAAAAACTTAAGCTGTTTGCTGTGTAGTCTGAGAATGAGCTGTTTGATTTGCACCCTCTTCCTCTTCACTGTCCTCCATAAAAACCAGCTATTCAGGTCCATGTTGTTCTAGAAAGTTTGTATGTTGCTGCCTCAATTAACATCTCTGCTATACATTTAAAACATGGCTATATCTAAATAATTTATCTTTTTGATTTTTGTTATCTTGTTTTTCATGAATATTTTACAACAATACAAAGAACAATGTGTATTTTCCATTAATATAGTTTGTAATGGCTTTTTTTGTCATAGATTATAATCATATATTTTTTGGATTTGTTATTTATCTTTATAATGAAGTTGTCTGTATTAAGTAGATTGTGTTTAACACACACAAGAGTGATTTATTAGTTCAACACATAGTTATAGAAATTCTACTTTATCTAAAAAAAACCCTGCACTTTATATACACACACACACACACACACACACACACACACACACACACACACACACACACACACACACACACACACATAAATACATGTAAATAAAAATCCAAAAAAAAAAAAACATCAAATGTGTTTTTAGTCAGAGTATTATTTTATACAGAAACAAATATTTGTAATTCAGATAAGAATGAAGTTAGTGTTTTAAAATCTTAAGGAAAACAAATATATTGAAATATAGCACATGAATTTTAAATTCATTCAACTTCAATTACAAATACAATCTTACTTTTATTTAAAGCAAACTATACATTTAAAAGATGGGGGTTATATGCCTATTTTGTCATTTAAAAAATACAAAATTGTTATGCAAAAAGACAAGGACTTAGA